TAATTTAAACGGACATTGGGTTTGCAGCTATTATGATACTAAAATGATTTACATTTATGATTCATTAAATTTTAAACGGTTGCATATGCACCATAAAATTTATCTTGAAAAATTATATCCTTTTTATCATTTTAATAAACATTCAATACAATTTCCAACAGTTCAAAGCCAACCTAATTGTAATGATTGTGGTGTTTTTGCAATCGCGTTCGCAGTATCACTTTTGTATGGTTTTCAACCAGATACAGTTATATATGATCAAAGTTTAATGCGTCAACATTTAGTACAAATGTTCGAATTAAATAAGATGGAACATTTTCCTACAATTATAAGATCTAATTCAGAACAATTAATTGACGAAAATATATTCAATCAAAATAATAAATATATTAATAATATTATTAGTACTATTCAAAATTTGAAACCCAAACATGGTACAAAAAGAAAGATAAATTTTATTAATATGGGTAATAAACAAAAAAAATGTGTATTAGAAACCTCAGAAAGTATTTTACTTCATAAAACAAATATTAATTTATCTGAAAGAAAAAATATTGCTAATGAAAAAAAAAGTATTACTAATAAAAAGTATTATAAATTGCATAAAGATTATTTGCTAAGACAACAGAAAAAAAATTATGAATTACAAAAAGAAAAGTTGTTAGTAAAACAGAAAGAAAATTATAAATTACACAAAGGAAAGTTGTTAGCAAAACAGAAAGAAAATTATAAATTACACAAAGAAAAATTATTAGCAAAACGGAAAGAAAATTATAAATTACACAAAGAAAAGTTGTTAGCAAGAAAGAAAGAAAATTATAAATTACACAAAGAAAAGTTGGCAGTTTAGCAAAACAGAAAGAAAAATATAAAATTTGTAAGAACGATTTACATCATAAAAGTCAAAGAGTTCTTTTTAATAAAAAGTATTACAAATTGCATCAAAACAATGTGTTATCATACAAAAAAATTTATTATAAAACGTATAAAAAGAAAAAAATCTAATGTTAATAATTCGTTAAAAAATAAAGTGAAATTAAAATATACTAAAGAAAAATATATCAGAAATGTATCTAAATATATTAGAATGTCGTCATTAGAAGAAAATAGATTAGAAGCAGAACGTATAGTGAAATGGTGTTTCTACACAAGAAAACTTTATATTAATCAAA